TCTCCCTGTATCTCTTCACATCATCTTCCCTCTGTGCATCTCTCCGTGTCCAATTTTCCCCTTTCTATAAGAACACCTGTCACACTGCATTAGCACCCACGCTGATGACCTCATTTTCACTTGGTTATTTCTGTCAAGACAGTATCTTCAAATAAAGTTACATTCACAGGTCCTGGGGGTTAGGATTTTAACACATGAATTTGGCTGAACATAGTTCAACCCATAATACATCCTTTCTCATGTACAACCAGCCACCTTTAGGGATGGCTTGGGTAGTTTAGTCCAGTTCAGCTAAAATGTAGTGAAAGGCTAGCAATACTAGGGTACTAGGCATATTTTGAGATGACTGAGACAAAGGTGCTGCCCTGAGCAGTCATTGCATTCATGTTGTCATCTTGTTTAGTGAGCTTCTCCCTAGAGGGCAGGATCTTTCCTAGGCATTAGGCATATGATTATGAATATGAGGTGATCCTAACTGTCCAAGAAATACATAGAAACAATTATTACAGAGTGTGAAAATGCATCTAACCCAGGTTGAGACTCCAGCGACAACATCGTTTTGGAGGTGACACCTGAGCTGAATCCTGAAGGATATGAATGGGAATTAGCCAGAAGTGACAGAGGACAGAGGTGTTTGTCCTCCTTTTAATTAGTTGCCAGTGGCCTGGAGACCCAGGGAAGAGTTGATGCTGCGGTTCGAGTTTAAAGTCAGACACAGGAAGAATCCTCTCTTTCCGAAGGAGGTCTTTTTTCTCTTAAGGCTTATCCAACGGATTGGATGAAGCCCACCCACATTGTGGAGGCAATCTGCTTTGTTCAAAGTCTGCTGACTTAATCTCATCTAAAAAAAAGTACCTTCACAGTATGTTTACCAGGTATCTGAGTACTGTGACCTAGCCAAGTTGACACAAAAAATTAACCATCATGCTCTCTGTTCCCAGTGTGCTAGGGGATAGAGAGTGTTCTCACATGTTTGGATTTTACTCTCAAAATAAATAATGGTATATTCTGCCCCATTCCACTTGGTATCTGGTGGTCTTGTACATTAGCTCACAAATGCCCTGGGTGTTGCTGGGACACATCTGCACATGGCAGTTGGCCCTCTGGGGTGCGAAGACTCCAAGTATGCAGGATGTTGATTACTCACTCTTGGGAGATGGTCGGCAGATAAGGTCTCAAAACCCATGGTGATATCCCCCGTCCTGAGATTCTAAGATGCCTGATGTACAAGATCTGAAAGCAAAGGGTGATGCTGCTGTGAATGATGAGATTACACGGGGGAAGCATCCTCAGGCTGCAGTGCAGGGCTGGCTCTCCAATCCAGGACAGCTCCCAGACACTCCTGTGTTGTCCCTCACGGTACACCTGTCTCCCCACTGGCCTAGCACTTTCTTTACTCCATGCCAAGATTGAGATCATTCTTAAGAAACAAATCTCACATCCAATCCATCCAATTTTTCTTCATAACAGGCAATGCCACCTGGCATTAAATTGATGTGTTTGTCTGTCTCCTTCACTAGAAGATAAAGACTCTGAGGGCAGTTCTGTAACTGTTTTGTTTGCTGCAATTTTATAATAGCTAGATGAGTATCTGGAACAGGTTGTCACTCAGTGAATTATTGTGGAAGGGAGGGAAAAAGGGAAGAAGGGAAGAAGGGAAGAAGGAGGGGAGGGGAGGGAAGGGAAGGGAAGAAGGAAGGAAGGAAGGAGGGAGGGAGGGAGGGAGGGAGGGAAAGGGGGAGGGAAAGGGGGAAGGAGGTGGGGTAAGGGGGGGGAGTTGGAGGAAGGGAGGAACAGAGGAAGAAAGGAAGGTAAAGAGGAAGGAAGGAAATGAGGAAAGGAGGGAACAATGATGCTGAGACCCAGGGCCCCTGCCCCCTGACCCTTTTCTTCCCAGTATTTTCCTCATGGCCACATCTCCCTGTTCTGACTCCCTGGCTCCTCAGCAAATGATCACAAACCTTAGTATCAGTAATTACTAATACTTGTCAGTTATTTCACATGAGCCCAGCACTATTCTAAATGCTTTAGAGTAAATCCTCATAGCAATCCTATGAGGCCAATGTTAGCATCCCTACTTTATAAAGAAACTGAGGCACAGAGAGATATGAAATTTGCAAGCTTACAGAACTGGTATGTGGCAAAACTTGGACTTGAGCTTAGGCAGTCTGGATGCAATGTCTGCTCTTTTAATTACTGCATTATTCACACACACACACACACACACACCCTACAAAGTCACTTGTTTTTTCCTCCTTTCAAGGTAAAGCAGGTCCAGCTTCTCGGAGACATTCCTTTATGCCGAGTTACCCCAAGTCCACACAGATTGATGCAAGAACTTGCTACTGCTCTGAAAACCCAAAATATAAAGCCTCCATGGTTGCTGGGCAGTCTGTATTGCCTAGTCTACCACTGCTGGAAACAGGAATCCACCCATATAATTATACTATAAACTGTACTGACGTTGTGGAAGGATCTTAGAACTCTCGGTTCTTTTAGTATTTCATAGTTAAAACACATATTTCGGTCTTGTCTCACAATAATATTCATTTTTTAAAAATGTTCATTCCTATTCGGTGCCCTGTATTTGAAAAGCTATAAATATACTTAATAGGAATATTTTTTAACTTTTATGTATTATTCACAGTGTCTAAACCATGACTGAGTACATGGGATATATGCTAATAAATAATTGTACTGTGACCCATTAGGATATTTCTGTCAATTCAGTTCATAAGCCTGTTGGAAAGTAAATATATTTATGCTAGATCCCTGAATCAACTAACCTATTTATTCTCTGTACTGCCACTGAAATTATCCAATACTTCCCATTTTATTCAAAAACCAAATCATGAATTCCTTAACACAACATTCCAGTCCTCCTAATCTGGCCCACCTTAGTCTCCCCGCCACATATTTCGTCAGTTTCACAAATTTTCCTGAGACGTCCTGTATCTTCACAATCTTGTCCTTCTGCTCGGAGTAGAGCCTTTTCCTAGAATGACCATCTCTCATTTTTTTCTCAGCCTCAGTAACACCTACTTATCCTTCAAAACCCAGTTCAGAAATCCCTTTCTCCATACAGTATTTATTGGAAACCCTAAAGCTAGTTCTTCCACTCTGCGTACCCATAATTCTAGTACGTAATGTAATGACAGTACATATTATAATGTATTAGTTCTTAAAAAAAGAAACATATTCATTCCTGTATCATGAATATCTAAACCAGTACCTGGTATGAGCTATGTATTTATGAAGTTTATTTTTTTGAATGATTGCAGAGCTCCAATCTTCTCAAAAAAAAAAAAAAAAACAACAACAAAAAAAAAAAAAAAAGCTGGTAAAGAATGGCACATAAAATATCCTAACAGCATGCTCAGTAATCAGAAGCAATCTGGATGCTTTAGATATGTAGCCATCTAATGCCGTGAACTACTGACTGAAAACCAAGCACAAAACATGCCAGATACACTGAGCAGATTTTAAATTGTAAAAACCTGAAAAGGAAATGCTCAAACCCCCTGGCTTCTACTGAATTAGAGTATAAGACCCAAAATGTATTCTATTGCAAGCTAAAATAAGTCCTTTTAAAATGTAGATTTTTTTACAGGATCTTTTTAAATGGCTGTTTTTCTTGATAATAGAAGTGGTTCCCACAATTTGCACAAAATTGAAAAATATATTAATTTATTTAAAAAATTAAGACAATACATTCTACATTCTTTAAAATAATGGCTATGAATATTTTGGTGTATTTCTCCGGTCTTTTTATTTCCTATTGGTATGACAGAATTCAATGAAAAGTGTTTACCAGTCTAATCCCTTCACTTAATAATATATTTTGAGCTATTTTCGGGGCCATTAAATATTACTTGAAAACATGATTTTTTATGGCAGAATACTATCTGCTCACATTTATATTTAGCAGTATTCTACTTGCTGCATATTTAGATGGTGTCCTTGTTGTTCTCTTGCTTCTATAAATAACGTTGTGATGTACATGCTTGAACATAAAGCTTTCTCCAACATTAGCTTGCATGACATAGCAGGATAAGGTCTTCAAGGTTATAACTCTCCTGCCCAAAGATTATGTGGGTATAAATTTATGGACTGTGTGTATTCTCCAGACTCAGTTGGGAGGAGCTTAGACCTACGGACAAGGATGAACCTGATCATTGGCTATTTTCAGACCTGTCTGACCAAAGGGTAGCCCTCAGGATGTATGTGACAGGGACCCTTGGTCCTGAGAAGAGCTTTGGTCATTTCCTAGAGAAAATGCCACCTGGTTACACAGAAGCTTTACCCTCTGATATAGTTTGAATCTGTGTCCCCACCCAATTCTCATGTTGAAATGTAATCTCTAATGCTGGAGGGGGGGCCTTGTGGAGGTTATTGGATCATGGGGGTGGTTTCTAATAGTTTAGCACCATCCCCCTTGCTCTCTTCTCCTAGTAGAGTTCTCACGAGATCTGGCTGTTTAAAAGTGTGTAGCACCTCCCCCTTCTCTCTCTTCCTTCTGCTCTGGCCATGTAAGATGTGCCTGTTTTGATACCAGTACCATGCTGTTTTGGTTACTCATCACTGGCCATCAGAGAAATGCAAATCAAAACCACAATGAGATACCATCTCACACCAGTTAGAATGGTGATCATTAAAAAGTCAGGAAACAATAGGTGCTGGAGAGGATGTGGAGAAATAGGAACACTTTTACACTGTTGGTGGGACTGTAAACTAGTTCAACCATTGTGGAAGACAGTATGGCGATTCCTCAAGGATCCAGAACTAGAAATACCATTTGACCCAGCCATCCCATTACTGGGTGTATACCCAAAGGATTATAAATCATGCTGCTATAAAGACACATGCATACGTATGTTTATTGCAGTACTATTCACAATAGCAAAGACTTGGAACCAACCCAAATGTCCATCAATGATAGACTGGATTAAGAAAATGTGGCACCGCGGCATCCAGGACGGCAGGTGGGCTGGCCACCCGGGACAGGAAGGCACAGAGCATGGCGAATGATGAATTTCCGTCAGCGGATGGGATGGATTGGTGTGGGATTGTATCTGTTAGCAAGTGCGGCAGCATTTTACTATGTTTTTGAAATCAATGAGACTTACAATAGGCTGGCCTTGGAACACATTCAACAGCACCCTGAGGAGCCCCTTGAAGGAACCACATGGACACACTCCTTGAAAGCTTGATTACTCTCCTTGCCTTTTTGGTTGTGGACAATTATTTTTCTGGTACCTTACTTACAGATGTTTTTGTTCCTATACTCTTGTACAAGAGCTGATCCCAAAACAGTGGGCTACTGTATCATCCCTATATGCTTGGCAGTTATTTGCAATCGCCACCAGGCATTTGTCAAGGCTTCTAATCAGATCAGCAGACTACAACTGATTGACACATAAAATCAGTCACCGTTTTTTCCCTACGATTACAAAACTGGCAGTCCTATATGGAGTCTGATCACAAGACTGCAGTTTCTTCACAGATCTCAGGAAGTTGTGGTGGGGCAGAGGCTTTTTAAAAACATGTGATCAGGGGGCTATCTTTATCTGAATAATAATGAATTTTTAGGTAAAACCTGAGATAGAGTACTACAAAATCATGTTGATGACTTCAGATTTTGGAAGTTAAATCGTGTCTGTTATTTGCATTCTTTAGAAACTTGACTGAGTACCTGAATTCATATTTCTATTCTACTGTGCAACATAGTGATGATTCAGAAATTTTTCCTTTGGGGAAAAAAAATGAATATGAACATTTCCATTGTGTTAAGTGTAAAAAGGTCCAGACATGATCATAAAATTTAAATTTTATACAAAAAAAAAAGAAAGAAAATGTGGCACACATATACCATGGAATACTATGCAGCCATAAAAAAGGATGAGCTCATGTCCTTTGTAGGGACATGGATGAAGCTGGAAACCATCATTCTCAGCAAACTATCACAAAGATGAAAAACCAAACACCGCATGTTCTCACTCATAGGTGGGAATTGAACAATGAGAACACTTGGACACAGGAAGGGAAACATCACACACTGGGGCCTGTTGTGGGGTGGGGGGAGGGAGAAGGGATAGCATTAGGAGATATACCTAATGTAAATGACGAGTTAATAGGTGCAGCACACCAACATGGCACATGTATACATATGTAACAAACCTGCATGTTGTGTACACGTACCCTGGAACTTAAAGTATAATAAAAAAAGAAAGAGAAGACAAACACTAAAAAATAATAATAATAATAAAAGATGTGCCTGTTTCCCTCTTTTCCCTTCTGCCATAATGATAAGTTTCCCGAGGCCTCCCCAGAAGCCAAGCAGATGCTGCTTGGGAAAGCAGCAAAAGTAGCTCAGAGCCCTATACCCAAGGGGAACACTCACTCAAGCCCAGGCAAAGATGGGATTCATGTCCCAAAAGTCTGATCCAAGGGCAGCCTGGTCAATTCAATGTGATAAACAGCAAGCCACTGGCTTTTGATTCTCCTACATCCCCACATTCTAATCCTGGCATTGCCTGTTGCCAGCTCTTTGATCTTGGGCAAGTATCTCACTACTCAATGTCTCAACCTTCTCGTTTTAAGACAGAGCAAACAATATCTGCCTTGACTTATACATGTAGGATTAGAAGTGCTTTATCAAATAGAACAGTGTTGTGGCACATAGTGCATAGTCTGCAAATCACAGTGGCAAGAATAGAAGCAAGAAAAGAGCAAGAGAAGAAGGAGAACTGTATTACATCAGGTATGCTGGGAAACAAACTCTGGGACAGATATGCATCTGCAGAAGATTTCTTGAAGAATGATCTCAGGAGCAACACCTCTGAGAAGTTGAACTGCCTGATATTTCAACAGAGACCTTGGGATAGCCCTTCAGAGTCAGGTTGAATTGAGGCCAGGGAGCCAGGCTCAGCTCCCAAGCAATGACAGGGAGCTACAACCCCAGGTGAGGCAGCTGCCCTCAGCCAACTCCTCCAACATCAGGAAGAATGAGTACGTTGGCCCCAAAGAGGGGAGCTAGTTGTCAAACCACTGTGTTCCTTGCAAGAAGAAAATCTGCCACTGATGAAACACTTCTACTGTGTTCCAGACACATCATCACAAAGAAATAAAATACTTTCCGAATTTCTTCTGTTCCAGCCACAGTTCCAAGGTAAAATGTTAACTCATTCACTCCTTAAAACAGTCCTATAAAATAGGTGCAGAAGTCTCATTGCTGAGGACACTCAGAAATATTAAAAGATTGACCTTATGTCACCCAGCAGTGCATGTCAGAGGCAGGATTTGAACCCAGATGGTCTAACTCCAGGGTGTGTAGGACAATAAAAAATAATCTCTGCTCTGGAGGCACTCCCTGTTTTACCTGATGTGAGACAGAGTCTTGTTACAGGACGTGTATTCATTTTCTAGTGCTCCCATAACAAATTACTACAGATTTACCAGCTTGAGACCACGCCCACTTATCTCACAGTTCTGTAGGCCAAGTCTGGTACAGTGTGACTCAGCTGGGGTTTCTGCTTGGAGTCTCACAATGCTGAAGCAAAGGTGTCAGAAAGGCTTTGTTCTTTCCTGGAACCTCTGGGGAATGAATCCACTTCCAAGCTCCATCAGGTGACTGGCTGAAGTCAGTTCCCTGTGCTTATCAAATCGACGTCTCTACATTCTAGCAGGCTAGCGTCTGAGTGGCAGTCTTTGCACCTACAAGGCACTCACATTTCTTCTCACGCTTTCCAATTGTTCCTCCCCCCAGCAACAGCAGGTGAGCCCCTCTTGTGCTTCGAAGCTTTCTGAATTCTCTTCTTGTCTCATATTTCTTACCCCAATGCTTTCTCTGCTTTTAAGAGCTCATGTGATAAGATGAGGCCCACTCATAATTCAGGATAATATCTTAAGTTCCATAAACTCAGTTGCAATTGCAAAAGTCCCTTTTGTCATGTACTATAACATATTCATAGGTTCCAAGGAGGAAGGTGTGGACATCTTTAGGGAACCATCCTTACAACCATGGGCAGCTCAAGGCAAGAGGCACTCCCGTTGTGTCATCATAGTGAATGGTGACTCTAAGTTTTGTCTTTAATGCAGGCAGATCCACCCCCTCATCCATATAACCAGCACCCAATAATGATAGGGGTGGGTACCACAATTCCACTATAGCTGTTAATTTGTATCTCCCCCCACCCTTTAATATCTACTCTCTACTTTATACTTGAAATCCTCTGGATTTTGATCTTCCTGTTTTTATCTCCCCTTTCTAACTCTGTCCTTGTCCCTTGGGCTCATTGAAGAACGGGGCTTCCCTGGTTTTCCCCCACGTCACCCAGCACAACAAGACTGCCTCTGTGGTTGGTCACGGAACTTCTCCACTTGCCTGACCTCCCCTGTACTTCTCCAAGACCCACACTGCCCAGCGTCTGCCTACTTCTCCAGCTCCTTCTTGCTCTGCCACTAATTCCCCTGCAGGAAAGAGACCATCTTATTCATATCTATAGCCACAGATTCTAAAACAGCGGCAGCATAGGGTAAGCAATCAATACAAACTTGTTGAATTTTGAAAGGAAAGAAGATGAATGAATGGATACGTGGATGGATGGTTGGACAGGATGGATGGATGGATGGGCGGATGGGTCGATGCGTGGGTGGATGAATAAGTGAACTGAGTGAACAAAAGAGCTCAATTAGTTATTAGCATTGCCCTTTCCTTAGTGTGATGATTCATGAGTCAGGCCAACAGGGTGAAACCCAAATGTATTTTCCTTTATAGTTTATTTATTAAACAAATATTTGCTGAGTGCCTACTATAAATTAGGTTCTATAATAGGTTCTTCTGGTGATAAATAAGACATGCTCCTTGACCTGAGAGAAGTTTGTTTTCCATCAGGGAGTGGAGTGTGGCTATGTACACAGTTGTTTCAGTTTCTCTGCCTCATGTCTTTGGAGCCATCCCTTCCTCACCTATACTATCTTTATTTCTACCATTCTGCCTCTCCTTCCTAAATAACTCCCAGCCCCTCAATCTGTGCCAATCATTCTGGAAAGAAAGAAGTTTCCCTAGGGTTATGCTTTAGAAACTGTGTATTAGGAAGGTTTGGGGAGCTGGCTAAATGTCTTTGTTGACAAGAAAGATAACACAATTTTTATTTTATTTTATTTATTATTATAAGTTCTAGGGTACATGTGCACAACGTGCAGGTTTGTTACATATGTATACTTGTGCCATGTTGGTGTGTTGCACTCATCAACTCATCAGTGCCCATCAACTCGTCATTAACATAATTTTAAAGAATTTTGTCATTTTGGTCGTATAGTGGTTACTCTTTAGGTCATTTGCACTTGACTCCCATTCTTTCTGGCATAGATAGCCCAATTTGGGTGCTGGTTCCACGATCAGAACCAATGAGAGAGACACCATATCTGTGGCCAAATAAGATGACTGTGAGCTTTGGGGCCAGAGTGGCTGGGGTTTTGTGATTGTTTCTTTTCTTTCTACTGAGGCAAAATTCAAATAACAAAAATTTAACCATTTTCAAGTGAAGAATACAGTGGCATTTAGTATAATTCACAATGTTGTGTAACCTCCACCTCTATCTCGTTCTAAAACATTTTAATTTCCCTAAAGGAAACCTGATATCCCTTAAGCAGTCACTACCATGGCCTGTCTCCAAAGCCTCTGACAACCACCAGTTTGCTTTCTGTCTCTGTGGCTCTTCCTACATTGGATCGCTCATAAAAATAAGAGTCTGTATTAGTCAGTTTTGTGTTGCTAGAAAGGAATACCTCAGGCTGGGCAATTTATAAAGAAAATGAGCTTACTTAGTTCACGCTTCTGCAGGCTGTGCAAGAAGCATGGTGCCAGCATCTGCTTCTGGTAAGACCTCAGGAAGATTTTACTCATGGCAGAAGGTGAAGAGGGAGACTGCATATCACATGGCTAGAGTAGGAACAGGAGAGAGAAGATGAGATGTCAGGCCCTCTCCTTTTTTTTTTTTTTTTTTAATTCTGAGACTGGGTCTCACTCTGTAGCCCAGGCTGGAGCACAGTGGTGCAATCATGGCTCACTGCAACCTCAACCTTCCGGGTTCAAGTGATCCTCCCATCTCAGCCTCCTCGGTAGCTGCTGCACGCCACCATGCCCAGCTAATCATTTTCTGATTTTTTGTAGAGGTGAGGTCTCACTATGTGACCCAGGCTGGTCTCAAACTCCTGGACTCAAGTGATTAAGACTCCAGCCTTAGCCTCCCAAAGTGCTGGGGATACAGGCATGAGCCATGCTTCCCAGCCTCCAGGCCCTTTGTATTGACTATAATACCAACCAACTGTCATGGGAACTAATAAAATGAGAACTTGTTAATTGCCATGGGGAGGGCACCAAGCCATTCATGAGGGAAGTGCCCCCATGACCCAAATGCCTCCCACTAGGCCCTACTTCAAACATTGGGGATCACATTTCAACATGGGATTTGTAGGGGACAAATTTCCAAACCATATCAGTCATATGACATGTGGCATTTTATTTCTGTGTTTTTTCTCTTAGCATAGTATTTTGAGGTGCATACATACACATTGTAGCATGTATCAGTACCTCATTCCTTTTCATGGCTGAATAATATTCCACTGTATGAATATACCACAATTTATTTATACATTGATAGATGTTTGGGTTATTTCTACCTTTTGGCTATTGTAAATTATGCTACTCTAACCATGCATGCACATGTATTTGTTTAAGTCCCTGTTTTCAATTACTTGGGGTATATATGTAGGAGTGGAATTGCTGGGTCATACAGTAATGCTATGTTTAACTTTTTGAGAAACCACCAAACTCTTTTCCA